GCACTCTTGTTAATCCTCTACCTGAGATGTTCGACATAGACAAGTTGGGAAAAGAGTAAAGCACGCATACAAAAATACACAATCTCAACGAAACTAAATAATGTTAAAATACTACATTTATTTTCAACATTTTAATGTGTTTTTATTTGTTTATATTGTACCTAATGACATGTTTTCGGAGAATCACACATTAAATAGGTAAATAAATCCATCTCAACGAGAATAATTAGATAATCTAAAAAGATGGAATGTTAAACATCGTTTATCGGTTTTTGATGAAATCATTTGCGTTTTGTTTGCGATACGGTAAAGACCACCTTTTTTTCTGAAAATGAATGTCCAAACTATGACTAGTATCCGCGGGAAAGTTCTTTTGGTGTATGACAGTTTTAAGTTCACTTTTCAAAAGGAACTAAAAAGCGGTGAGTGTTTTTGGCGATGTAGCAAGCGAACTTGCAGCAGTAAAATTTGGACTCTTGGCAGTGGAGATGATAAAATCATATCCAGAAGTGAACTACATCACAACCATGACAGCTCCGAGAGAACGATAAATCATCTAATGGGTAAGTTTTTGACACTTTGTAATTATACTGCCTATTTATTTGGTCGTATTTTGTCTCCACTATTAAGTATGTTTGTTGTAGTAAATTCAATTGCGAAAAAACGTGCAGCAGAGGATCTAGTTGAGAGGATCTAGTTGAGAAACCTGTCAAAGTCATAAGGACGGCTATTGACAGTAGCAAATTTTCTCTGGATACGCTGACCCAAAAGGATATTGCTTACTTGAGGAATAACTTATATTATAAAAGAAGAAAAATACAGCCCGTCCTACCAAAAAGTGACAATTTCCTTGTTATCATCAATGGTCTGCTAAACGATTAAAGGAGAACATTTTGTTTGTGCAGTCGAAGAAGAAAATAAAATAATTGTATTCTCATGTGACACAAATTTGTCGGTTCTATGCAATTCAAAGAATGTATATGTGGACAGAACATTACGATATTGTTTAAATTATTTTACACAACTTTTTACACTGCATGTCGTTTCTGATGGACATTATATTCCTTTAGTTTTTGTGTATTGCCCAATAAGCTAATTGCATCATACAAGAAAGAGATACTTCTTATTGTAGGAAAATGTTATGGTCTTGGACTTACATTCCAACATAAGATTGTAGTGGCTGATTTTGAGAAAAGTATCGATGTAGCTCTAAAAGATGTTTGGCCAGAAGTAGAATTGGTTGCATATCTGTTCCACTTTGGGCAAAGCTGGTATATGAAAATACAGCAACTGGTATTATCATCGGAATACAAAAAGGCAGACTCCGATATAGGAAAATGGCTGAATTATGTCTTCGGTTTACAGTTTTTGGAACCTGCGAAGTTTCAGAGTGATTTGTATTTGATCTTATGAGCTTATGAGTATTCTTCCAGATGATCCTAAAGTAGTTCAATTTGCTGATTATCTAGAAGAAAATTATATTGGTGATTATGCGTTGTTTCCACCAAATATTTGGGCAAGTTTTTCAAGCAGCATTCAACGTACAACCAATGCTTGCGAGTCTAGATTTAATTCTTCATTTTATAAAACGCATCCTTCTCTTCATTTATTTATTGATGGGCTAAAAATGTTTCAGATTGATACCTATGTTAAAATAAATAGTATTAATATTAATGAACCTGTACGAGTCAAAGATGTGAAACCTTTGAATAGAATTAATTTTATAGAGAGATATGTAGAATTAGGAAGATTTACTTTTGTAAAATGTCTGGGATATTATTATAAATCAGACCATAATAAATAGACCAAATTACATCTAAACAATGATTTTTAATTTCCTTGACCATCACATTCTTCCTAAACCAGCAGGTACAAAAAAGCCCAAATCGAAATATTGAAAATATGCATCTTTTGGGTAGAGTTCCCAGATCAAGGATCGATTTCAGGTAGGGATTTATAGAAGGTCGTAGGGGATTAACTGGTGCCCAAATATAATACGCTCAAAAAAAGGACACAGTGTAAAGTATTCCCCAAACTTTAATCAGGATGAATTAAAGCTTAAGCATAAAATTTGATTTTTCTCTTTATCCGTTTTTGAGTTAGTTATCTTCAAAATTCGAAATTTGTACTTTTCCTCAAATATCTCGAATTAGCTCAATTTTAGGGAAATCATGTATGGGAACAAAATAATAGAGAATGACATCACAAGCAACTTTTATTATGATTCCTATACTTTCCCTATCTGAACACAGAAAGGAGAGTAAAAAATAGCTGTGACCGTATTTTCTTAGGCAAACCATTTGCGGTAATTTAAAAACATATTTTATTTAATAACAAAAACTTGAAGGTCGACCTTACTTACGGATCCGGGACTATAAAACTGGGACTATAAGACTGGGCCGAAATGGACATATTTTTAAAAAAATATAACAATTATGTTTACAATACTTATCAAAACTTTTGTTTGCTGCACTTATTTTTCGTAGTTTTTTAAAATTTTAAAATCCACATTTTCAGCCCTCTACCACCCCTTTTAAGGGTAAAAAGTAAAAGTTTAAAATTTTGACGTATAATACCTACTGAAAGTTACATTTTAGTGTTTATTCACACTCTTTATTTTTATTATTTTTAAATAACATCTTCAGCCCTCTACTACCCCTTTTAACCAATGTTTAATTCTTTTATCCTTAAAAGATAAGGTAAAAATTACTTAAACAACAAATAAATATTTCACGATTAAAACTAAAGGCACATTTTTTTAAAAAAATGGTAAAACGTACCTAAAGAAATCAAACATAAAAGCTTACAAATTAAATATAAAAAGCTAAGTACATAAAAACATAATATTAAAAAAACATATATTGAATTTTAAACTGTAATTTAATTTTAAATGTTGGTATAGTTTGTTTTGATTTTATTCTTAAACGAATAAAGCCGTCTCTTGATTCTGAACCAATTACTAAAGAAGATGAATCTGTAACTAATTTTACGCATCTCTGCAAGGGAACTTCGGCAAATCAAAGTCTGGAAGTTTCGATTATAAGTTCCCTAAGATTACCATCAGAAAAATCCCTTAAAACAGGAGGCGGTGTCAGTCAAAGTAGTTTGTAACACTGAAACTAATTTTTGATACCACAAAGTGTCTTACTTCTACGGTTTCTCGACTGGTTTCTCTAGCTTTTAAGAATATTTGTAGAAATAGTTCCCGAACCCATTCACGAGTGTCTGTTAGCATACACAAAAAGATGTTTTTGGGGTGTATAAAATACGCATGTCTTTGGATTACCGTATCCACAATACTTTTTAAATCATCTCTTAAATTCCCTGACAGTTCAATCGTTTTAAATACATGCAAACTACCACTAGTGCAGCCATACTCAACCTGCGGCCCGCTGGCTGCATGCGGTCTTTCTAGCTCTTTCTGGTGGCCCGAAACACTATTATAAAGAAGGTACTTTTTAAAACTATAGGTTTCAGTTTTTAAAGATTTGGGTAAAATTCACGAAAACATTTATCGGTCGCTGCGCTTAATACCACGATAATTTTTTAAATAAACGTTTGGATCATATGGTTACCCCTAAATAATTTAAAAAATATACAGAATAAACAAGACAAGTGTAGACGAAGTCTGTATTTATGATGAATAGATAGTCAACAAAAACTAACTACATATTAAAACATTTAACATATGGACAAACGATAAGTAACATGTTGAATGTGTTTGTTGAAATACATCAACATTTTGCCCAATTCATTTTTTGTTTTGCTTAGAGCCGTCTCTGACCTCTCTCGATTGGTCCGAAATCGACAATATGATTATGTCACCCTTTCTTTCCACGATACAGCTAACCTTAAAAACTCAGTAGATGATAACACGTGATACCCGAATAGCCGTGGTGAATGATTGATTGGTCAAGCTGTAACGAGTTACTGGTCAAGTTGTAAAAGAGCGGGGATGCTTACACTCTTCTTCAAATTGTTTTTGCGTTAAAACGACCAGAAGTACTTATTAAATCATCGAACAACACTGAAACACCAGATTTCGCATTGCTTGAAAACCCAAGTCATACCTGTAGAAAGATGCCTGAAAGTATGAAAAAAGTGTAAGACATTAGTAATACAAAGAAAAAAGATTTATCTACTAAAACTTCGCAAATTAGGTGCTACACCTGATGAATTTCACCATTATTATCCCAATCTACCTGTATCCAATAATGTTAAAGATACGGTACCTGAACCTTCCATTGAACATATTGGTACAGACATTGAATATTATGAACTGTATATAGACAGACAAAATGAGAATAGTGACGTTTTTTCTCTTTTTTTTTTTGTTACCAATCAACAGTTTCTTAGTCTACACTTTATGAAGACTAATTATGTTTTGAATATCTACTTTTTTTTTCAATGGAGTTATTGTTAATTAGTTTGAAACTTTTACTGTTTTTTATATTGAATTTAAAAATTTTGAACACCGTTTTCTCGAAACTCTAAAAAAATGTGAGTTATCTTCTTTTTGCAGTAACCCGCTAAGATATTTTTGTGTTTTATTTATTAGCGATTCCCACTATCTAATTATAAATAGATGGCCTAAATAAAGGGCCATCATCCAAAAATATTTGCGGCCCGTGTATCATAGGAAACATACGTATGTGGCCCAAAGGAAAAAAAGGTTATATTTGGCAACTTTTATTGGGGTAAAATTTATAATTTTAAGACTTTCACATTTTTCACCACCAGAATAATGACGAGGTCCCACTATGCTGCCATCTAACTGTTGGAATAAGTGTCTTAATGTCAATTCGTTGGGTTGGAAAATATACCATTGTAAAGGACTTTTCAATTTAGTCTCAATATACCTAATAACACCATTTTTATTACCATTGGTAACAACAGTACCATCGCAACCCACAGTCATCAAATCATCTAGTTCCAAAAAAAGTCCAATATTGTTTTCCAATTGACTTTGCCATCCCTGTAATTGGAGTTACGTGGCCAATTTAGAGAGATTTAGGTTCATTGATAAGCGATATGTTTTCTTCGACAGTTTTCTCGTATAATCTACCGTTTTTCTTTTCTTTCAGACTTCTTATTCTTCTGTTATCACTTTTAAACTCCTTCCTTGCGGTATTTCTAAATTTCTTTCGTTCCCTGTTTACTTTATTTTTGTCAAGTATTTTCGACGGATATTCTTCTGTGGTAATTATTCCTACATCTTTTAATACTCCACTAGCAACCGCAGCAGCTGATCGATCAGATATCCAATATGTATCGCATACAAGACCTAACGTAGGTAAGAACTTTTTTCTCATTTGAGTATTTTTTAAGGTAGAGGTGATTCTGACCCTGACAATAGTGTAGAAGTTTGAGAGGAACAGCTGGGTCTTAATAAATTGCAAGACTCTGATTCATATTTTTTTAGTCTTTCAAATTCTCCCGTTTCATTTCTGAAGGCTGGTATACCGGGTGATGACTATTCCCATATAGTAAGTTTTCGTAGACAGGTTTTCGTTATTCCTCAGTCAGAAAACCCTGACATTCAAGCTTCTATGATAATTCAGCACGATAACAATTCATTCAGAATCTTCTTATCATCTGATAAAATGGAATGCTTCCTCTGCAAATCCACTGGTCATATAGCAAAAATTTGTTCAAATAAAGTTGAAAAGTCTGCGACCGAAGAGGATGTTCCTTTAAATCAAGATAGCCAAGTAGCACCTACTAGCTCTGAACCATTGCCATCATATGGTTATAGACAAAAGAGACCCCATTCTGACAGCAGTTCAATTAACTCGCAGAAAATTCAACCCAGTACATCTTTAGCTAACTCTGATATGCCTCTTTTGGAAGCTAGCAAAGAAGAGAAAAAACCAAAACCTTCAGGTACGAAAACAATCAAAAAGAAAACCAAGCACGACTCAACCAATCCAAAAATATCAGATAATACAATTTCAATCATCAAGAAACTGTACGATGAATCCCCTGGAATATTTTCTCTCCCAATGGATTCTTTTATTTTAAGGTGAAGGGGGGGGGGGGGAGAAAAAGTCCTTTATATCTCACAAGGATTTCCTTGTGAGATATAAAGGACTTTTTCTCCCCCCTTCACCTTAAAATTACTTCAACTCACACATGGCTACCCCCCTTGTCAAAGATTCTTTTATTGGTTTTCTAGAAAATTCCTTTGGAAGTAGTAACCCTAATTTAGAAGCGCAACATTTCTCGAATGATATTAGATCAATATTGGAAGATATGTATAGGTTATATCCGCACTTAACGGAAAGGTCCTTTAAAAACAGGTTCACTAGGTTATCTAAAAAAATTAAGCGTAGCTTAAACTTGAATAATTCAAATATAGAAAGTATAACATCGCAGTCTCTCATATCGTAGTTGACTACAGAAAGGTGAATAACAAAACAATCGACGACCGGTACTGATCAAGATGGCGGAGTGTAGTGAAATCGCAGTTTTAACGTCTGAGCTGAATAAGCTCAAGAAAAATGAATTAATCGATCTAATTTTAACATTTAAAGTACCGATGTCTGTGACAAGTGATATATTAGTGAAATATATAAAAAAACTTATGGTCAGTGATAAACAACCAGTAAATAATGAAAAATTCCATGATAGCTACTCTAACCTCAATTATTGTGTTCAATGTGAAGGAAGTCTTAAAAAGTTAGACCAAATAAAATGTGAATTAGACACTATGAGTAAACTAACTTTTCACCTGGAAAAACGCACACAAGAACAGGCAGATTTAATTGCGTTATTAAAACAATTTAAAGATTTAAATTTCGAAACTAATAATACGCCATCTTGCAGCAAAAATTCAAATTCAACTTTAATATTAAATAGTTCTCATCGGGCTCAGTTTGGATCAACAGAGGACAACAAAAACTTAATAAAAGATAACAATTCTAAAGATAACAACCCACAAAAAAATTTCAATGAAGTTCTCAAAACAAATATACCAAAACAAACCATCAAAGAAAGCAGGTATGAAAGGTCAACAAACTCTGAGGACAAAAACAGAGGGAATTCCCTTTACAAAAAAAGATACAACAATAAAGCAATTATTGGAAGCAATGAAATTCAAAATAAACAATTTAAAATAGTACCGAGACAAGGATTTTTACATCTATCAAGAATTGGAAATGAGATAAAAAGTGATGACGTTTTAAATTTTTTAAAGAAAAGTGCCCCAGACATTAACTTTTCATGTGAAGAATGGCACAGAAATGATAGGGTGTCCACATATAAAGTTTCGTTTCCGATGGACAAAATAAACCAGATTTACGATCCAGCTATTTGGCCCAAAGGAGCAGAAGTTAGAAGATTTCAATTTAGACAGAATTTTCAGAAAGACACACAAGTGACTGTAAATATCTAGATTTCACATCAACAAAGAAGAATGACATATTTGATAAATTTCATCTACATAGTATTTTGCAATGTAAAAGATCGGTGAGTATATTTCATTTAAACGTGCAGTGTTTGTCTAACAAAGTGGAAATGCTCGATGTATTCTTAAACGAATTTAATTTTGATGTTCTTTGCATCTCGGAACATTGGTTAAATGAGATTAATCTTGGTAGCGTGAACTTCATTTTGTAGAAGTGAGAAATTGCGTGGCGGCGTAGCTATATTTCTAAAAAAACATATAAAAATAAGCGTTTTGGACGTAACAAAATTTAACTTCGAACAATCAAGTGAATTTTGCGCATTAGAACTTCCCGAGTTGAAATTGCTTATAGTGGTTGTCTATAGATCGGGTAAAGGAAATATTGATTTATTTTTTGAAAATTTTGAAAAGTTATTAGATATAATTGTAACACTTGAACGAAATATTATTATCTTGGGTGATTTTAATATTGATTTTAAAGTTACTTCGAGAGGTAATGCCGAGCTCAATTCTATTTTAATGTCTTTTGGTTTAAAAACTGCGATTAATGAATATACTAGAGTCACGGCTACATCTTCCTCATGTTTAGATAACATAATTACAAACTTAGACGATTCTTCAATAAATTCGGGTGTTTTTGAACCATGTATTTCAGACCATCGAGGCCAATTTATAACGGTGAAAAACAATATTGAAAATCAACGACAAATTTTTTACAACAGGATTTTCTCAAAAAAATCAATTGATAAAATCAGATATTCCCTAAACTCTATTGACTGGGTTATCTTTGAAACAATTTATGATGCAGAGTATCTTGCAAATTTTTTAATAAAAACCTATAGTGATTTGGTTGTCAAATTTTGCCCACTTAAAAAATGCGTAGAACAAGCAAAAAAATCACCGGTAGTTTGGTTCAATGAAAATATAAAATCTATGAGAAATACTCTATCAGCTCTTAAAGTTAAAGCAGAAGTAAGCAAACAGTCGAGTGATTCAAACACTTATAAACAATTTAGAAATCAATATTATCTTACACTGAAAAATACCAAAAAAACTGCTTATAGTAATTACATAACAACATCTAGCAATAAGTCGAAGGCCTGCTGGCGAATAATTAATTACGAAGGAAACAGAGTTGTCTCTAAGAACAGTAATATTAATCTTAATCCTGACGCATTTAATGATTTTTTTACAAATATTTCTCTTGAAATAATTAAATCGCTTCCAAAAGTATCTAATAAAAGCCTTTTATCTTTTAAAAACTTTCCTGCACCAGTTGGATCATTTTTTTTAAATCCGGTCACACAAAATGAAGTTTTGAATACAATAAAATGCTTAAAGAACTCTAATTCTCTTGACGTTCATGAACTAAACGTTAAAATTATAAAACAAACTACTGATTTGTTGTTAGATCCTTTGACCAATCTGATAAATGTTATATTTAGTACTGGAGTCTTTCCAGATTGTTTTAAATATTCAAAAGTTATACCATTACATAAAAAAGGCGATAAGAATATCGTGGACAACTATCGTCCAATTTCAATTTTATCTGTATTTAGCAAGATCGTTGAAAAAATCATTAAATCACGTCTTTATAGTTATTTTGAGTCAAAAAACTACTTTAGTGTCACTCAATATGGTTTTCGAACCAACAAATCAACGGTTCAAGCTGTAATAGATGTTGTTCATGGAGTGGTGTCTGGCCTTGAGCAAGGTAGTCACACAGCAGTTACTCTTTGCGACCTGTCGAAAGCTTTCTACTGCATTTCTCATGACATCTTGATTGAGAAGTTAAATTACTACGGCGTCCGAGGAAGTGCGTTAAAACTTTTAGAATCTTATTTATCTGGACGCTTTCAGGCTGTCACATTTCAGAACCAAAGGTCAAATTTTAGTTCGGTTAAGCATGGAGTTCCACAGGGCTCTGTCTTAGGACCATTATTATTTATTATATATACCAACGATTTAAGTAATTATATGGGTCCTTTTAAATCTGTTCTATTTGCAGACGATACCACTTTTGTGTACTCTGCAAAAAATGAAATTGAATTGAAAAATACTGCAGAAACTATTATCGCTAAAGCTGAACATTGGTTCTTAGCTAACAATCTCATGTTAAATCAAAGTAAATCTCAGGAATTGCAGTTTTCTTCGGTTACCGATTCTCAAAATTGCAATAGTGCTAAGTTACTTGGAGTTATGTTAGATAGTAATTTAACTTGGAGAATTCATATAAATAAATTAAAACCTAAATTATGCAGTACCTTATATATGTTGAGGCAGCTTAAAACTATAACAGATCGTAACATATTAAGAACGATTTACTTTTCCCTATTCCATTCCCACATAAATTATGCCACTGCACTTTGGGGTAACAGTTCAGATGCAATTTTGATTTTTCGGCTGCAGAAGAAGGCTGTTAGAATCATAACTGGTTCCAAATTTAGAGAACATTGTCAGCCCTTGTTTATTCAGCAAGGAATAATGCCTCTACCAACGATTTATATATTTAGTGTCCTTTTGGAAATTCATAAGAAATTATCATGTCTTTCTAGGCAGTCCGACATTCACAAATATCCTACCAGACAAGCTAACAACTTAAGAATAAATAGATATCGTCTAAATAAATCAAAAAACAATTCCCTCGACCTTGGTCTTTATAATGTATTGCCATCCGAGTTTGGGCTGCTGGAGTTTAATTCATTTAAGAAAAAATTAAAAACATTTATGTTGACACATTGTTTTTATTCCGTAGAGGAATATATCGATCGGTGTAAACTTACATAGTTCTTAAACCTTCTACACTATTTGTTTTCTCTTATTTTTTATGTATACTCACCTAACTTAATTTGAGTTATTTTTATTCTACTTAACAATTATATGTATGTAGTTATTTCATTGTGTAGT